GCAGCTTCCGGCTGCTGGCTAGTTCTCCGTTGAGCAGATACGGCGGTCTCTCATGGCGGTCTCTCCTGGCGATATCCACTGAGCGGCCTGAGTCCCGGCTTGCTCAACTTTCTTCACTTCATTCTCTTCCTTGGTTGTGGACGACTGATGTGTGTCTCTTGCTTCAGGCCTAGTTCGCCTTACGAGTTGCTGACGACGTTGGCTTCGATGGTTGGGTCGATCTCTCTTCTTCCTCGGTGATCCTCGACGTGGAGGTGGCGGCTGGTAGGTTTGAGGAGTGAGCTAGCTCGCTGCCTCTTCCCTTGATTGTGACCCTTGGATGAAGTTTGGAGCTGGAGCTTGGGTGGAAGTGCTCACACTTGAAGCGTGAGCTGTCCTGCTGCCTTTCCAGGCCAGCTATGGGGATGAAGGTGGATCGCGGTGATGGGGCTCGCGCTCATGGCGCGAGCAGCTTTGCATGCAGTGTCGATGGCGGCCGCGTTGAGCCGCTCAATTTCGAATCGAAACCGTGCCTGGCGCTTTCGCGCGCGGCGGTGGGCTAGCGGGAGTCAGGGACGTGACGCGAGCGCGAATTAGCGCTGCGTAGCGCTACCGGACAGCGCGAGCGCAAAAAACTATAAACTTTTTCAATTTCTAAAATTTCCAAAATTTTTAATTCCCCCCCAATTAACTTCTACTTTCTCTATTTTTCATAGAATTTGTGGTGCTTTTTTAGCTACTACTGCTTTTATTTAGTATTCTTTTTTTGTCAAAATTTCAAATTTGTGAACTTGGTCTGACTTTTTATCACTTTTATTTCTTTGTTTTTTTTTTCCAACGTTTTTACTTCATTTGTTATTTTCACTGGTTAATCTTCCATGTGTTCGTATTACTTCATAATAACTTCAATTTAACTTTCTTAGCACTATGCTATCATATGAGCAACAGAATTCTGTTGCTCATTTATTGTGGGATTTAGGGCACGGCTTAGATTTATCAAAAGTGTAGACTTCCGGAACTATTGCATCTTGTCTAGTTACATCGAATATCTTGAGATTCTCTTTGTCGAAAAAAAAGGGTGTAAAAGAATGAAAGCTAATAGAGAAAGACTTCCAAGTGGATCGCTCTCACTCTTACCAGCGGCTTGTGGACCAGCTGTGCTAGCTATCTCGTTTTTTTTTCTTTTTTTTTTTGCTAAAAGGAGTGAAAGTTCCAGGGCCATGTTTTGTAATTTTCACCATCAGTATTGCTGCTGCTGCTAATGCTGATGCTGATGCTGCCACGATTTCCAGCGATGTTAATAAAACCTGTATTACCGCAGTTATTGCTGCTGCTCCTGCTACTCGTGTGATTAGTATTTCAGAATCTCAGATAGAATTATTACTTCTTCCCTCCTACCGGTAGTATGCTGCACTTTGGTCCACATACCTTGTACATGCAGCACCCCAAGTTTACGATGGTGTCTGGGTCATCACTGGAGTTCTGTTCAAGCAAGATTTTGCAACCTGCAACAGAGTGAGGAAAGGGGTGATAGTTGAGAGGAGGAGAGGGAGGAGGGAGCGACACAAACATACAAACACAGAGAGAGAGAGAGAGAGAGAGAGAGAGAGAGAG